CTCCCTTAAAAGAGTTGGTAGTATGTAAATTCTAGAATATGTAGTAGATAAATATTAGAATATGGTAGTATGTAAATTCTAGAATATGTAGTAGATAAATATTAGAATATGGTAGTATGTAAATTCTAGAATATGTAGTAGATAAATATTAGAATATGGTAGAATGTAAATTCTAGAATATGGTAGTAGATAGATATTAGAATATGGTGGTATGTAAGTGCTAGAATATGGTAGTATATAAAATTTAGAATATGGTAGCATATAAATTCTGTTTTATTTGACCCTTACTTACTAAATTTCCATTTTTGTGTTTGCATGTGAAATCTGTCCGGGTTCTATGGACCCTCTCCTTGCATTTTCCTTTGGGCCATGGAGGCCCAATTCTATTTTTATCCGAGTCAGCCAGCTATAAAAGTCGACGAACAGGTCCCGAAGCTGAAAGAAGCAACAGATCGAAAAATTGAAGAATTTGGGCTAAAGGCCCACCCTTAATTCAAAAAATAATAATTGTATTTTGTTATTTTTGGGCCTAAGCCCACTTATTTGTTATACTTATTAGTTCTTAGGACAGGTGCAAGTGGCTCAAATGGGCCGAAGACCCAAAACGAAAATGGGTCCAAGTATTGGTCCAGGCGGACAGAGAAACCAAACTTGGGCCCGAGTCTCTCTCCCTCTTTATTTTATTGTGTTTGCGTGCTTGTTAATATTTGCCGCTAGTCTTAAGGTCGAAAGATTCAAATTCCCAAAAGATACCCATTTTAAAATTAATCACTTAACTAAGTTATTCGTCTTTACTTGACTTAGAAAATAAACAAACAAATAAATAAATTTTACAAAAATGCCTCACTTAGATAATATGTCAACATTTCCTTCTTCTCCCTTAGAATGGTCCTAAATAGTTTAATTTTGCAATTCAAACTAAGTTACAGTTAATTTAGCCAAATAAGTAATCGTCGGATAACCGCATTAGCGGGTGTTCTAGGTGCTTTAAAACCCTTCCTAGAACACTAATATGGATCCCCGAACCCTCTTATATTTTCAATTGATTCCCTGTTTTAATCTATTGAAAAAATAGTTTTCTTGATTTTTTCTTTAAAAAATTAAGTGGCGACTCTTAAACCAATCAAAATAACATTTTTAAATAAAACAGGAACCAGTAATGATTCTCGAATACAGGCCACGTCCAGGTGTAGGCTCGGGACATGACAAAAGTTATATAAAATAAATTTTAATTTGGTTTGGGATTGACTTTTTTAATGTTAAAACCAAACCAACCCAAGTATAATTTGTAACACCCCAGAATTTTTTTTTAACTAAGACTCGAACCATCTTTCGTTGTGAGTAGGATTTTATCGAGGAACTAAAAGTTTCTTGAGTGTTAAGGTCACTAGAGTATCACATTGAGTTCCAAGAAGAACTAAAGAGAGTTCATTTAAGTCATTCCTAAGTTCTTCTAAGTTTTGGGTCAACTTCAAACTACCATAACATTTAGCACAGGATGAGTTAGGTGGCCCATAAGATATCAAATGAAAGGTCTTTGAATTATCTTTCCAACGCCATCAAGTTTGCTAATTTTAGAGTTTGGATGAGTGAGATATGCCCTTTTGAAGTCAGGTTGTCCAATTAAGGAAAGTTACCCGAAAATAGTGAGGGATATTTTGGTCTTTTCCTTACCTAATCAAATTTAATTCATTTTTAGTAAGGGTTTAGGGGTCTAATCTAATTAGGTTCAGTTTTATAATCCTAATATATGCCTAGGATTTTAGTTGAGAGTTCAAGAAGAGAAAAAAGGAGATGATCAAAGCTTTCGTCGAGATTTTTGAGCTTTGTTGCGGATTTTCGCCATGGGTTTAATCCCTAAGAGGTATGTAAGTTTCCATAGTATTGGGTTCTTTCACCCACACGCCAATCATATTATTTTCAGCGTAATTTCATTCTCAAAAGTTGAAGGTTTTGAGTTCTTGATAAGTGAAAGTTCATTCTAAATCTTGTTTTGTTGGATTTTAAATGAATTTTTGAGATGAAAGTTAGTGATTTGAGTGTTATTTTGAGTAGATTAGTTTGTACTTAGGTTGGGTAATTGAACCTAAGGAAAACTTGAGAAAAGAAATCGACTAGAAATGATTTAGGATCAGAAAACAAGAGACGAAATTCGTCAAAATTCTGCCTGTGAGGGGCTTGGGGGGCTCACCCTAGATGCGCCACAATCATGCCTCTGAAGTTAAGGGGCTGGCGCCCCGCGCCAGGCTCGCCTGCCCCCATTCCTTTTCCGTCGGTTGTCCCGTTTGAGTCCCTTTAAAGTGTACTTTCACTCCATTTTGTTTCTAACTACTTTAAACTACTTCTAAACACCTAGAAATCATTCATAACATGAATCATAACCTTGAATTCATAATTCAAATTCAAGTAGAGTTAAGAGTTAAGTCTTAAGAGTTCTTTCGAACATTTAAAGAAAATCTCTTTGAGTCTTTTTTAGGAGTCTTCTATAATTTCTAATAACTTGTTTCAAGACTCGAGCAAGTGAGTATGAGAATGAGGAGAATGTATTCATGAGTCTACTTTATCATGACGAGATCCTTCATATCATGAACCATAACTCTTGAATTCATAATTTACATTCAAGAGAAGTTAAGAGTAGAGTTCAAGAAAGCTTTTGAGTTCAATTGTGAATCCTTTGAGATCAACTATCGATTTGAACTAAGTTTTGAGAAAATAAGTATGAGAAAGGGGAAGAGTTGTATACATGAGTTCCATACTGTTATGTAGACCCCTGAGTCGAGTCGTTCATAGCCATAAATTTCGAATGAACTCCATAAGTTGAGTATCTTTGAGAGGAGTAGTATCTTCAAGTTCTAAGTCTTAAGTATTGAGTTCCTAACCCTTTTGAGATTATATTCCTAATCATGGGGCTATTACATGTTACCCATGAAGGTCCTTGAGTTGAGTTGTTCATGCCCATAATTCCGCATGAACCTTATGAGTTGAGCAGTTTTGAGATGAGAACTATCATTGAGTCCTTGAGTTGAGTAGTTCATGTCCATAATCCGCATGAACCCCCTCCCCCCCCCCCCTTATGAGTTGAGTATTCTTGAAATGAGTAGTGTCATTGAAGTTCTTGAGTATTCTTGAAATGAGTAGTGTCATTGCGAAATAGATCATCAGTATCCTTTGTTATATTTTCGGGTCAAAATTTTCCCCATCGTTATCTCAAGAGACCACAAATACCCAGTCATAGGTTTTCTGATCTCAAAGGCACTTTGTAACACTCCAAAAAAGTTTAAATTGATATCTGCATTTTCAATTAATCATTTTTCGATTGAAGATTAAATTTTACTTCACACTTTCTAAATGTGAATTTTACAATATTAAAAAATCTGCTTATTTTAAACTGTGATAATATTTTTAAAGGAGTATTACGAGGTATTTATGTAAAATACTTTTATTGTCATTCTCTAAATTTTCCATCTCCTCTCATTCATGTCAAATAAATCTCAATATTCTCTTATCACCAAATCAACCAATAAGACTTAATTTCTTCTATTTATTTATTTTTACTGAAACTCAAGTTACTCTCTCCTAAATTAATTTTCTAAATGTTCATTCAAATTTTGAAAATTATATTTAAATATCACTTTTGTTTATTTAAGATCAAAATATCACTCAACTATATCTATTATCTTAAAAAATACTACTCAATTACTTCAAAAATCTCGTTTTCTCCTAATTAACATGTCATGTCATTAAAATCCCATTTTTTAAAATAATAAACTTCTTTAATTCATCCATTTAACTAAAATTATAATCTTTTTTTTAAAAAAAAAAATACATTAATTTACGAAGAAGAAAATTTCATACTATGAACCCTTTATCATTTTTTTTATACTATGGAATAATAAATCTTTAGAACTTAGCATAATGTCATTACTAAAAAAAAATAATTAGGTTTTAACGTACCAACTAAGAGAGAATGAGGCTTTTAAAGTATTTAGTATTTTTAGAGAAAATTGTGATAGTTTTTGAAGTAGTACGCATTTGTTGACCAATTAATTTATGTTTAATTATTTTTGAAGTTTTAGCTATATCAACTCATATTTAAAAACATTAAAATCTAATATTTGATAACAAAATTAGAATCTGACAAAATCCATCCTAACAAAGTCATAAATTATTTTATTATAAATATATGAATTCTAATAATATATGCAATAACAAAGAAAAAATAAACAACATAATGTCAATCCATATTCAAACATCGAAACTGCATACACTTAACATTATTCAAAACTTCCTACATAAAAATAAATTAAATACTAAATAAATTACGTATTCATTATATTTTATTTTAAAAAATACTAAATAATACGTATTCATTATATTTTATTTTAAAAAATACTAAATAAGTTCTGTTAAATTAGGTCTTAGGCCTAACCCACACCCCAAAAGCTAGCTCAAAGGGAGGAGGATTGTCCAAGCCTTATAAGGAGTCCACCCATCTCATTAACCACCGATGTGAGACTTTTGTCATTCTTTAACACCCCACCTCTTCCCAGTGCTTAGCATCTGGTGCGTGGGCAATTTTGATTTTGGGGACCCCAACATCGGGGGAGACGGGTCCTGCTCTGATACCATGTTAAATTAGGTCTTAGGCCTAACCCACACCCCAAAAGCTAGCTCAAAGGGAGGAGGATTGTCCAAGCCTTATAAGGAGTCCACCCATCTCATTAACCACCAATGTGAGACTTTTGTCATTCTTTAACAAGTTCTTACACTGGACAGAGATAGGAGTTATTACACGTAAATCCTTTATTTACTAGGACTACGAATAATATTATATTATACAAAAATACTAATTATGGAAATAATGTAACTTCAAATTTGTATTCCAATTAGGAAAAGGAATCCTTTTCTCAGTTGAAAACGAATTTTGAACTTGTTATATATAGGACCTAATATTATACAATTTTTCTCATTCTTCATTCTAAATTGAAAGAATTATAATTATGATTACAACAGATAAACGTTGGATTAAACAGTATGTTCTTGGTGTTGGATTTAATGGCCCTGTATATTTGGCAACACATTCTTCTGCCAACAATTATTCACAAGCTGTAGCTGTCAAATCTGCACAAATTGGATCAGATGAGTACTCTATTCTACGTGAAGAAGGAAAAATTTTGAACAAATTAAAAGGTTGCCCTTACATCGTTCGATGTTTTGGGGAAGACGAAAGTATTGAATACACAAAGTGGACGTATAATCTCTTGCTTGAATGCGCCCCTAGTCGCACTTTACGAGATTTCATACTTTGGAATGGAAGAATTACGGAACCAGTGGCAGCACTTTATGCATATCAACTCTTGACGGGTATCCGTCACATTCATAACAAAGGGTTTATTCATGGGGATATAAAATTAAGTAATATACTTATTTATCCGGATAACAAGTTGGTAAAAATTGCGGATTTTGGATCAGCCAAAGAAGAAACAAGTCGTGAGCATCAAGTTTTTGATATATGTTCTATAGGGTGTGTTGTCGCAAAGATGCTTACCGGAAAGTACACTTGGTATAAGGGACAGATTAAACAATATCAACGTCAGATTTGTGGTCTTGATATGCCTGATGAAGAGTATTTCGATGATGCTTCTAAAATGGCTATAGATTTTGTAATAAATTGTTTGTTTTGTGAATTTAGATCATTGAGTGTGGATGAACTAATTAATCATCCTTTTGTTCAGAATGCAATTACTACTTGTGGGAATGAAGATCACATGATCAGCATCTCTAGTACTCATACTCCTTTTGGTGATTATTGGGTTTTAGAGCGTGATTTGTTTACTACAACTTCTGAGGAATGGAAAGCCAAAATAAGGAGATCGATCAATGCTCACAAGAAAGAAAGATATACTTGTGGCTTATCAAGGACATCACTCTAGATACGAAGATAAAAAATTAATGTAGTAGGTTAATTAGTACGGTGCTATATCTTAATTACTCATATACTATCTTGTTCTTCAATATTATTTATTATCTATTGTTTTTTTTTGCTTCGATTATAATATTATATATTATTATTATTATTATTTTCTGCATTATCGTATTTATTTTTCTTTCCATACGAAATTTTATTATGCTTCACTTGAACCAATATTCTATTGAATTCACAAAAATGTCCAAATTATTATTATTATTTCTGCGTTATTATAGTTTTCTTTCCGTACATAATTTTATTATGTTTCTTGCATATGAATGATAGCCTAAGCTGCCTTTAAAATTTGATAGCCATTCCATTAAAAAAAACCACAATAAACTTACATCAATATTAAATGACAAACACATTTAAGAAATAAAACTTGCATCAATAATAAATGACAATCACATTTTTATTTTTTTGGGGTTTTCTAATTGATCCTTGAGCAAACTTTTCTAATTTCACCTTGATTTCCAGTAAGGACTTGAACTCTTCCCATTTTGACCATAGATTCACCAAAATCCTTAAAGAAAGTAGATCCATATTGATTAATTCCTTGTTTTTTGAGATAATCTTTGGTTTCACTATCATCAAGTAAAGCAGAATCAGAAGTAAAAAGTCCTCTTCTTTTAGCCACAAGCTTATAATAGGAATTATCAAATGTCCTAACACTTCCAGGGTCCATTTCCACAAGGGTATTTTGGTCATTTGGTGGACACTTCTTTTTCAAATTTTTTATATAGTTTGGATCCAATGAGGGATCTGTATCTCCTTTACCAGTAAAGTTGTAAAGACGATTGTTGAAGGATGAACAATGTGAGATTCCAATTGTGTGAGAACCTGTTAAGTGGCGAAGTCAAAATTTTTACTAAGAATTAATTGTTTTTTTTTTTTAAATCTTGAATATATTATATGTAATTTAAACTTTAAAAGAATTAATTAATGAGTTAATTACCTGATAATACAACAAGGTCCTTGACACTTAGTCCTCTTTGCAAGAATCCTTGTTTCAATGATGTTATGTTTGCAAAAGGAGGAATTAAATTAAATAAAGCTTCTGTTATATTTGACACACTTCCATCTCTTCGTCCTGTTTCAACTTCCCATGACGGTCCCTTCACCTGATCACATTTAAATTAATTTACAAAAATATAAGAGATCATAATATACATCATCAACGTAAATAATACTTATATCATCGCAAAATTTTATCTGTTATAACATAGTTAAGTCACCATGCATTTTCCTAATGAGTGTTGGATTGGTGAAAAATGAATCTATTACACAAATTTTCCACTGATCCGCAATCAAAAAATTCTTTATTTCTTTGTAGTGAGTGATGTGCTAGTGTAAAAATACACTTTACACGAATGTTGTGTAAATAATTTTATACTATCAAATTATCTTTACATGTATCTTACGTGTTATAGCAGGTAACATAATTTGTTTTCTAAGATTTCAAATCTATATTTTAAGAACATTTACATATAAATATCTTTTGGATCATGACTTGATAATATAGAAAATAAATAAATTATACTGACGATATATATAACTTAAACTCGTTTTAATTTAAAAAAAATATATGACTTAAACTCAAATTTAAAAACATATATATTTACCGCAACAGTGACATCTCTTGCAACTAGAGCAACAATATCTGCACAAGAAACTATGCCAGGGCAAGATTTTTCAAGAGCAGTCTTCACTTTATCAATAATTTGATATCCTCTAAGGCTTAAATTTGGGATTGAATCTTTCTCAGCTTGTTTTGTTGGGGAATCCAACAGAACTGATCCATCACAACCCTACCAAAATATAAAGGAAATACATAAGTCAGTGTATTTGATATGACGAAAGTCAATTTTTCACGAAAGAACTCTTTTCGTGAAAAATTAATATATTTTTTTCACGTTTGATTAATGAGTGAAAAAATACTTTTTGAAACGAAATATATATGATTGACCGATGGAACTATATATTGAGTAATGAAGATCAATATATATAATAGTGTCTAAAGTGCTAGCTAATTAGAATTTAGAACAAGAAATACAAAACTTAAAAGATGAGAGTAAGGAAAATGACTTCCATGCAAAAATATTTTCTAATAACCAGAAAATGACTCTTTCGTGAAAAGTATTTTATAAAAAAAATAGTTTTTATTTTTTAAAGAAAAATTCACTCAATACCCGCTTTGCGCCTGTTTTGTCAGGATTTTTGTCAGATCTCAAAATGCGATTCTACTCTAGATTAGATTAAACTCAAAATTTCTAATTATTAAGAATAGAAGGTTACTTGCCACACTACCATAATCTATTTCCGCTATTTTTAAAAAGAGCTTTTTATACAAAACACACACTTATAAAATGATAGTAACAAAAAATAATTAATTTTTCATACGTACCCTAACAAAACAATCATGATAGTGCATTCTCAACAAAGGGGCAGCCAGGCTAGGGACTCTTGATATAACATCATCAACAATTTCCTTCGATATTAATTCAACATGAGGACATGTTTTGTGATAAAATCCTACTTTGAGTACTTCTCCATTTGCATGGTTTGAACTAAATGCAATAAGGAAAAAAGTCAATGAAATCAACAAATAATTTGAATTATTAATTGCCATTTCAATTATGGTTTGAAGAAAATGCAAAGAGGTTCCTCTCCTTTTATATTATACTTAGTATAGTTAAGATTTGTATATTTTTCCTTTTTATTACATGATTAATTAGATTTGAAGTAGTCGTGAAGAGACGTAAGAACGTGGGTTCTTTTGACATTTTTTAAAATTATGTTACAAGTTGAATTAAAGACCTAATTGAATCATAAAAAATATTTTTCTATTGCCATAATAAACCTACTCATCAAATTGTGGTTTTATTAATATTGTCTAAGACGAGGTGGCGGTGAGGATATTTCGGTTTTATTATTATTGTCTAAGATGAGGTGCCAGTGAGGATATTTCTGTTTGGTATAAGGGATAAAGATAATAATTTTGTGATAAAATGTGAAATTATTTTATTTTTGTGTTTGGTTGCAATTTTTGATTCGTGTATGTATAAATAATCTTGCAATTATTATATCTTAATGTTGGTATATCTTTTTACTAAAAGCTAAATGTGAGATGATTCTGACATAAAAATAATAAAATTATGGTGAAATGGATAGGCTCTCTCCATCTTTAATCATATGATTTCAAATTTTGGGAATATAAAAAGAATTGCTAAACCTAAGCATTTCCTCATTTAATGGGTCTTAGGATAGGAAATTACCCTCAATAACTTTAATTAAAAATGGATGATCTTGAACTTTTGACTCTATTATTCCATGAGAAAACCTTTAACGTGAAAGAAAAAACCTTCTTAAACTTGAAAGAGTTGAAAGTCACATAAAGGCAACTATGAAGGCTTTTCACTTTCATAGTTGCGGGGTAAAATAATATTAATGAAGCTACATTAGACTAAAGTCCGTAAGAACTTAAGCTAGTACTACTTCTGAATTAGACATTCTAAAATTAGTGTATTTAGATTGAGTTATAATCTCAACCTATGGTTTAGAAATTTCATCCATAGAGCTTGATTTAGCTAATTAAGTATATATGTAATTCTTCAGACTTTATCCCGTCCATGTGAATGAGTTAGATTTGAAATATTAATTCTAGGCTCAAATAGAACATATAAGTAGTGAATTGGTATAGTAGTCCTTAGTTAGAGAGTTGAAAAGAGCCTACTATTCCATCATTTTCGGAAATTCTACTTTATACGATGTACATATTGCAAATCTCATCCAGGTAATTAAAGGCAAGAAATTGATTCAAACAAGGTCAAAAAATAAAGTTTAAGATCACTTGCCTTCACAATCATCCTTATCAATTACTTGTTTAATTTTACGCTGTGTGAATTCGAATTAGCTGGTCGAGGGTTCAAGATAGATATCATATCTCGAATGAATTTTTTTTAAAAGAAAAGAAAAGAAAGATAACAACCCTAAGATAATTAATCCTAAGATAAAATGAAAAAAAAAAAAGATTCCCTTTCGCGGAACTCTTCTCGCAAATACTTTAAGAAGATTAAGATAAAAATTAAAATTAAAATTAAAATATATCCAAGTTTATATGGTATAAAATCAAATATATATTGTACATTATATCCCTTATTATATCTTTTTTTTTTTTAATATGCAATGAACCACACCTTACCAAAAAGTATATATACTAAATATTCTCGGTATTATTTAAGGTGTGTTTGATATAAAGAATAATATTTCTAGAAAAATATTTTTCAAGAAAATAAGTAATTTCTTGATTTTTTTTTTTTTATGTTTAGTACGTATACAGAAAGTATTAGTCTAATTATTATGTTTACAGTTTAAATAAATAAGATGAAAGGTGAAAGTTATCACAAGGCAAACAGTCCCTTCAACGATATAATTGGTGATACAACTACTAAAATATATTCTATAGCCACCACTTAGAACAGCTAATTTGGAACTGTGATTTTCAGTACTTTTAGTATTAATTAAAAGATAAAAGATTAGTTTTGTAGTTGACTTTAATGGTAACGTGCCTCTTATCAGTTAATCAAATAATTTATAATTTATTCTGACAGCTAAAAGATGAGAGGGCAATAGAATTAATATATGTGGTTTCTATGAACTAATAAGAAGCAATTTGGGAACATATAAAGAATTATATTTGATCGTTTAAACAATTATTTTAGACTTTGTGATTAGGTGAAGGTGATATCTAAGGCAATCGATCATTTTTTGAACATTTAACATTTATGATGGTTATTTGGTAACAAACATGTGCAGATCGTCTTTAACAAGATTGGTGATCTAAAGTCAAATAACATATAATAGAGATTTTAATTGTTTTTTCTATCTTATATATATA